GGGGCACGGCTTGATCGGCGAAAAGCTCACCGACAGCGAGGTCACCGGCGATGAGGTCGGTACCAATGTGTTCACCATCCAATTCCGCACCTACATGTACCCTTGGTTGGCCTGACGGATCACCGGAGCGACCTCACCGGCGAGCATGGTGGCTCGGCGGAGGCGCACGACGGAGGACTTGCCGTCTCCGGCAAAGATGTGACCAAACAAGCATGGCTACAACTTCTATGTACCCTAGCGGAGCTCTACGGTGCGGATCGAGCCACTGTGAAGCGACGGTGAGCTCCGGCCACGTGCATGGCGGCACGTCGGTGCATAGAGCACGACGATGGTATCACCGTTCCGATGAGACGACGGCCGAAGGTAGGTATCCATCACCGAGGAAGGTGCTACACCTCTAGGCGACACGATAACAGGTACCAGAGCGGGCTAAAGGCGGTCGGTGAAGTTGGCGGCGGTGAGCGCATGCTTGCAGCCATGGCGGACGCTCACGGCTGCGTCACGCGTTCCCGCATGACGGTGGCAGTAGCGGTTAAATAAATGACGACATGAGCATCTCTGACCTAAGGCAATGATGGAACCAGGGAGAGAGAGGTGGGAGGAGCGGTGGATAAGGCTGGCCACGGTGAGCTCGGAGCTCGACGGCGCTCCATGACCATGGCGGCGATGGCGACGTAAAATGTCGCATTACCTGGGCTCTAACGGTGGCAATGGCGGTTTGGCGAGGTGGAGCAAGGAACGGAGGAGCTATGGGTGTGAGGGATTGAGCAACGGGGCTACGTGGACAGCGAGCACTGCCGGCGGAGGCGTGATAGCGACGCTACTGCTGTGTTGCTCCGCTCTAGAGCTACGCGCGGGTGAGAGAGGAAGTGAGAGCGAGAGTGAGCGCATGGGTGCGTGGAGAGCCGGGTGCTCTCCCTTTTGGCATGGCAGGGCGGGCCGGTGCCGATGGACAACCGCCACGCGGCGTGCGCGGCCTGTGTCGGTCGGCCACGACGCGCGGTGCTTTTAATCGGCAGGGGACGATTCAGTCCGTCTAACAGTCGATTTTCAAACCTTCAAATCTCCCAAACCGTGGTGAATTCTTGAAAACTTCCTTAATCAAATTTGTAGAGCTGAGTGAGTACTACAAAAATGCTTAAAGGAGTTTGGCCTAATTCCCAACGGTTTGCAAACTAAAAATCACCAAAGATGGCTACACGAAAACTGTGAACCGTTTAAGACAGATTTTTTAAGTTCCCGAAACAACAAGTTGAATTTTGTGAGCTCTATTTGACTAACTTATTCACTGAATTATCTCATGACCCTTAAACAAAGTTTGTTCTACATGACATGAACTACAAGTTTTATTTAGGTCACACAGCCATGCAAACATTCTAAGCTACTGTTCAACTTTAGTCAAACTAGCATCATGAAAATGACATTTCAAATGAAACCAACACTTAGAAGCAAATTGGTTTAAGTCATGAATATAAACATTGTTCCAATTATCATTCTAGATGTGTCTAAGGTGTTTTTATGACCTCACAACCATCTTATACATTGGTCATACATGATTGCAAGCATAAGCATATATATAAAATCAACATTTCATGTGATAAGTATAAGAATGAGATGAAATTTCATATGCTCATGTTGATGAATGCTTGTGCTCATGAAATGCAAATGTCAAATGCAATGCTTAACACTGGGGTGTTACAATGTTTATAACATTAATAAAGTTTACCGAATTCAATATCGACTCTTTTTATGTGACCGGGATCAGGGGAAAGTTACAATTCTACTTGCGTCCCAAAATAGATAGGAGTACAATTCTAGGTTTGGATTCAGTTAAGAAAATTAGCTAAGATTGTAAAAATATTATTGACATTTATGACTCTAAATATTTATAATATAAAAATATATTTGACATTTTTAAAAACATATATATTTATTTGGTACCATAAATATTAGTATATTTTTTGTATAGATTTGATCAAATTTAAATGTGTTTGGCCCCATAAAGACTGAGAAATGCATTATTTTTTGGATTCAGAAAGTATTTACAAATTGTCTTAACTAAACATACTTGTCTCTTAGACACCTCAACAATATAGTAAATTGTACTTTTACGAGGGGTGCACACCTCACCATAGATGGATCAAAAGAACACACATTCAAGCTACAACACTCTACCCAAAATTAACATGGGTCCCATCATGTTACCACTGTAAGATCTAGCTCCTCGGCCCCATTGTCGTTGTCAACGTGGTCCTTCGCGCTTGTCCTCCACAAGAACCGCACCTCCGCCTCCACCGCATTCCCTAGCTCCTTCTTGTGCCTCACCTCCGCCTCACTATGCTCGCCCTTCGCATGACAATGCCCTGCTCATGGCAGTCGGGGGCAGAGGTCGCCCGCGCGGCGTCGACTAGGGCTAAGATCTCCCCGTGCAGTGGTGATCGGGACCTGAGCTCGCTTGTGCAACCCCCCCACCAAAAGGATCGCAGCGATCGAGGCCCATAGACATGGCCGATGGCCAAGGCACAGACTTGCCCATAGATGCGGCCAGTGACCGGTGCCAGAGCTTTGATTCACATGCGTTGACCGCAGCTGCGTAGGGACCTCTTATAAGCCCATCGCACCGAGCCAAAGAGAGGGACGGGCGAGCGAGGAGACTAGCACATGATGGGGTCTGCTTGCATGAACCCGTGCTAGCGGCTCTCGGCATAGTTAGCGACGATTCCTTCTCTCTCCTTGTTTCTTGGTCCCGCGTGGAGGTGCTATGTAGAGCTAATCAACACCATTGCAGGTGGCCCCTTATAGAGTTAAATGCACCAAATATCCATTAATTTATGCAGAGGTTCAAATAGATCCATCAATTCTAGGTGTCACCGCGTGCTGCTTTACTATTAGGCAGTGCATCGTACTATCAACGTGAGCATGTGTAAATGCAAATTGTGCAAGTATGAACTCGTGCCTTGTCGGACCGTCCGGTAGGGCACGCGGACAATCCGAGCAAACACTGCAGAGCCCAGAAAAAGTTTAAGCATTAGAATGAACATAAGTATAATGGTGGAGCTCTATCTTCCATGAGTTCTCTCATCGCATACACTACTATGAAGCTAGTAGTCATAGAACATTCTAACTAGAAGCGTACCCTCGTGCGTTGCTGCTGAAATTGTGGATTATTTGATTGCGTGGTACGATGACGTGGACAACAAAATTCTTATGTGTTTTGATGACGTGGACATTACACTTCCACTAGCTATTGGATTTTTATTTTATGTGACAGTGCATTGCCTAGTTGCATAGCTTGTATGTTGAGATCAATAGCTAGTGGGATTTTGCTTAGTGGACTTAATTGTATGTGATAGTGCATTGCCTAGTTGAACAACTTGCATGTTAAGATAAATAACTAGTGTGGTTTTGCTTTATCTTGCATGTTAAGATAAATAGCCAGTGATGTTTTGCTTTATAAGAGTATAAGATAAGATATCCAAGAGCACGATATTCAAAATGATCAACGGGGTACAAGTATATCCACAAGAGACGAAGGCCACTGTCCATATGACCTGTCAGTACATAAGGGGTAACTTATCGTCTCAACCTTTCCCACGCTCACCCAAATCGCCCAATAAATGGCTGAGATGTACTGGAGTACTAGTCCCTCGGCTACTCTGCACCTTAAATCGCGTCAAATTTAGATCTAGAGCAAAAATCCTAAGTAGAATGTACAAACGCTCGAATCGGGTTAAACTAAAAGGTGGCAATTAAGGAGAATTGTTCTCGTTAAATAATAAGTAGTATTTACCATAGTAATATTTAACATAGTAATATCTTCTTACAATGTATTCTTTATGGAAGTAAGGCGGTGAAACAACTAGAGTTTATAGCGTATGATTTCGCATAGAGCTCTAGCATAACATATTCAAAGCCACGTGAGACTCAATCGTTGGCAGACCAAATGAACTTAATAGATTTGGGTTTTCAAGTCTCAAATAGACCCTGTATTCTAAATCAAAATCAAACTGCAACATATGAACACCAAAAGAAGTCTAATTTGCTACTGGACACTTTAGTTTTTGTCAATTTTAATGAAAGACATTATGCCTATTAAATTTTTTTCCCCATGGATTCATCGCTCAATCAATAAAGGAATCTGTCAATCTAGTGTTCAGTGTCTCATATTTTTCAAACAAAAAACAATTGGTCTTTTAGTCATTTTATGCTTTCGACATGGATCCTTTTGTTTAGTCATTTCAGGTTACACAATCTTTTAGAAGACTATTTTTTATTATTATGCTGAATATGTTATGCTGGATCCCTGCTGTCGTCACTGTAGTATGGTTACCGAACAACCGCATTTCAAAATTTGTAGCCGCAGCCGCCCCCACGCGGCACACGGCACACGCTCCTTCCGTGTTTTGCTGAAAACATTTGAATCAACTTCTCAAGAGTTTCTTTAATCCCTCCTGGAGTGCTTTCTACCTTTTTCCAGGTAAAAAAGTAATATCCGCCTCTCCCTCTCTCCTCTCTCCTCTCCTCTCTCTCTCCTCTGCGTGGTGTATTTTCAAACTTGTGTGAGCAGCATCAAGGCCACCAACAGGCAACAACAGCAGCGGAACATCTCGCCTTCTCTTAAAGCCATTTCAGAACCACCTTCAAACTCAACCCCCCTCCGCTTCCACAAACCAATCCCTAGTTCCTCTCGCCCTCGCATCAACCCCCAATTCGATTCACCCCGTCCCCGATCCACCTCGAGTCCCACCCAATTCGGCGCTAGCCTGATCGGCATTGCCTGCCGGCCTCGTCGTCCAGATCTGAGCGCCGTCTCGGGCGCCAGATCCCGCCGCCTCCGCGCCTAGCATTTCGCCAGGACCAGGATTCACGCGGCGCCGGCGCCGGCGCCGGACGCCAACTTGGCGCCTCAGAAGCGGTCCCAGCGCGGCGGCGGCGGAGGTGGCGCCTCCGCCGCCGCTGCGGCTTCGTCAGCCGCCGCGGGGGACTCCGGGGACGCCGTCATGGCGCGCTGGCTGCAGTCCGCAGGCCTGCAGCACCTCGCGGCGTCCTCGGCCGCGGGTGGGGCCGGGGCCGGCGACATCCGCGGCGGTGGTCTCAGCGGCGTTGGTGGCGGCGGCCTTCTCCCGAGTCTTATGCAGGTCTGTCCAAGATTCCGTCCTTCGCCTGTTACGCGTTGGACTGGTCCTCTCTGGTTTCTGCGCCCGCTGTAGCCATATATCTTTTGTACGTCTGTATAATGGAATCCATGGAGACGTACCTGTAAGGCTGTAATCATGTATCTTTTGGATTCTTCTTGAATTTGTCCCGTTGTAGAAATGGCCGGAATCCACTAAGTTTTTGCCACCCTACCTGAATATAGCTCATACATTTGAACACCATCCATTCTTTGTTTGCATTTTATATTCTTTATATTATTATGAAAGTGTTTTTTTGTGATAGAACTAGTATAATTTTCATTGAGCCAATCGTCATAGTTCATACATTTATAAACGTGTTGATAGTCCAAAGTTTGGAAAGTTTGGCAACAATGATTCTAGGATGTCAGTAGAAAAGAATGGGGGGATTAGCATCCTCTTATGTCTTGGATCTTTACTGGTAGCTCGCACAGCTTGATTGCTTGAGTTTGTAACTTAACAAGGGGTTTACTGCAGAACCTTGTGCTAAACAAGTAACTAGAAAATGAGCTTACACCTTTCACATTGCAAGGTAATTTTGGTAGTGATCAAATATTGCTGAAGGTGTGCATGTGGCTTTGTTATTATTATTGTTATTTCTGGGGTTGGGGGTAGTTAATGCATCTGTGCTGTATTTCAAACATGTTTCCTTATAGTATTAAACTGGAAGGGCGGGCCTGGTGCAAGCGGTAGAGTCTTACCGCCTGTGACCGGAAGGTCCTGGGTTCGAGTCACGGTCTCCTCGCATTGCACAGGCGAGGGTAAGGCTTGCCACTGACACCCTTCCCTAGACCCCGCACAGAGCGGGAGCTCTCTGCACTGGGTACACCCTTTTTCCTTATAGTATTAAACTGGTACCTGCAGTGAAAAACAAGGCGACATTCCGCGGTCGCCTAGGCGCGACTAGGCGCTGGGCGGAGGCCTCCCGTGGGGCCTAGGGGGTGAGGCGGACATCTAGGCGGTGGGCGAAGAGGACTGGTGGGGAAGGGACGCGTGGGGGCGGCGCGGAGGTCGGGAGACGATGGGGGAGGAGCTAACGTGAGGCAGCGGTAGCCGGTGGGTGAAGAGGTGGCGTCAGGCGGTGGCGGCGGGCAGATCCGCCAAAGCAGGGACGCGTGGGGGCGGCGCGGACGTCAAGCGGCGTTGGGTGAGGAGGTAACGTCGGCGGGGGCGGCAACGACTGGTGGGGAAGGAGGCGACGTCGGGCGTCGGGCGATGGCGGCGGCGCGGGGCGAGCGATGGAAGCGAGCGCGAGCAGAGGAGGCTGGGAGGGTGAGAGACGGGGCTGGGAGGGGAGGGGATAAGACTTGGGCGTGGGAGACTTGGGCCGTTATTGGGCCTCTCCTCTTTCTCCCCATTCTATGACCATTAATCTGCTATTTTTCCTTTTCTTTTACGTATTTATGCATATATTAGCTACCGCCTAGAAAAACGCCTTGAAACGCCTAATCCCGCCTAGGCGCGCCTAGGCTCTAGGCGGTGGGTCACCGCCTAGAGAGCGCCTAGCGCCTAGAAAAACATTGGGTACCTGTAACTGGTGGGAGGAAAGAATGTATTCTTGATTCTGATTGTAGGCCACATTTTCTTATAAAATAAAATTAAGATGTGATCTGCATAGTTTGCTCTATATCAAATTCATACATGAAACACGACTCCAAATCTTTGTCATTGTTTAACAATCAGGGGGTAAATGTAACTTAACGGTTTCACCGCCTAATATTTAGGAAAATCGGATCTGTTTGAATTAGCGAACAATTTCGGTGTCCGCTATTTCTAGTAGCTGCAACAATAATGGGAAAGACATTGTTCTTTTTCTTGAAATATCACAGAACATATTGCGTTGTAAGACATGATCACATGACTATGGTTGTATGATTGATTCTATGCCACCGGGAAACATGATACTCCTTATTTGATGCTTTTGAATTTTTGCGGCTTTCAAGATGCAAGTTGTTATGTGGCCAGTTGGGATGGAGATGAGAGGGCGTGCTACAGTACCGTGGAGCTACAGTGCCCGCGGGTACTGTTCACGGCGGCGGCGGCTAGGGCTGCAAGGGCGCTGGGGGAGGCCGGCCGCGGGGCTTCGCCCACGGCCGGCAAGAGAGAAGGGATTTTCTTCTAATCTCTTGCTTGATTCTAGATTGATATATCTCCTCTCATTATATAGAGAGGTCTGACTTGGCCCCTAAGCAAGCGACTAATTAACCCTAATGGGCTAAGGCCCAATAGGCCCTTGACTCCTCTAACACAAGTTTTACAACTATTTTTTATGTCATACTACTACCTTTTATGAAAGTATTTTTAAATAAAATGTCCAGTAATATAATTTCTGCAGTCAAGCTTGATAATTTAACCATATTAATTGTCGAACTTTAGAATTTTGATAGCATGTTAGAATGACAATTCAGAAAGAAAATTGGAGGGAATGTTTGAATGTTGCCTGTACTTTCAGTGTCATTGGTTCTATGCACTGTTTTCTTAACTTATTTGGATATGCCATTTTTTTCTCTTGTTTGGAAATAACTTGTCTATCCTGCCCTTCGCCTTTTATCTTCTCCTTTTGTGTTATTCCACGGTTCACTCACTGCCTTAGCTCCATGGCTTCTCCTACTGCATTGACACAGCGAGCATGCCTTAGTTTGTCCAGGATTTTTTTTACAGTTTGTCAGAATTCGCGCACCTTAGGACTTACTCATTGGCAGTGATCTGAATTCTGCACTTCGTATTAGATCTATGTGCAAGGTTCCTATGTAGTTGAAGTATATGTAGTTTAACAATGCTGTAGTATTGTTTTTTTTTGTAGGGATATGGGCCACAATCAATCGAGGAAAAACAGAAGCTTTATACATTATTGAGGAGCCTAAATTTTAATGGCGAATTAGCATCTGCATCTATATCCGAGCCCTATACTCCAACAGGACAGAGCTTTTCTGGTGGTGCTCCTGTAGATGGATTTTATTCACCTGAACTTAGAGGTGAATTTGGGGCTGGCCTTTTGGATCTTCATGCAATGGATGACAGCGAGCTTCTTTCTGAGGTATTTCTCTAGATTGTATTCCAAAAATGCATGTCTGGACTTTGTCCCTCCCCCCCTTCTTCCTGTTCCTTCTAGAAACTGGGGAGGTGATTCAGTTTGTTAAGATGTTTAAAAAAAAAACTATCTCCCTATCTGTTTCATAAGTTGCAATATCATTTTCATGCATCTAATCTGATTTCCTTATACTTTTGTCAGAATGCTGCATCAGAACCATTTGAGCCTTCGCCTTTTATGCCAAAAGAAATGGATGACGACGACGATGACGTAATAACAGAAAACCAGCAAGGGCTAGTAGACAACCGGAGTAGTGCCTTCACCAACGAAAAAGAGAACACTGTGGTCGGTGCTAGAGAAAGTAATGTAGCAAAGATTAAAGTCGTGGTATGTTGATGCTGCCAACTTCTGGTCCACTACTGTCATACACTTAAATCAAAGTCCACTCTCTCTTTATCTCTTATTTCATTGAAAAAAACTCTTTATCTCATCAACTTGCAGGTAAGGAAAAGACCTCTGAACAAAAAGGAGGTATCTCGAAAAGAGGAAGACATCATAGATGTACACAATTCTCAATTCTTGACTGTCCATGAACCTAAACTAAAGGTACTGCCTGTTCACCGAAGTACTTAATTATTTATGTGTTTGGTAGTTCACAAAATAGTTTTTTTTGTCAAATATCGAAAAGTTATCTTATTGGGTTTGTTGGAGTAGTTTGATTAATTTTGGATGCTAGTGATGATATTTATTGATGGTGAACATTGGAAGAGAAAGATGCAATACTTGTTCTCCTTCAACGTGTTACATAATAACCACTGTACCTGTGTATGTAGGACAACCTGCATGTTTGATAATATTTATATCCGCCTTGTCTTTGCTTAAGAAATAAAGCAACACTAAGTAACTATGATGCCAGCATGATTTAGGTAATTATGCATTACAACTTGAATGAACAAGCATGCTTTGAAGTGCTGAAGTTGACTGTTCTGATCGAATGGAAAATGACAAGCAATTTCAGAAATTGAATGTTCTGATTGCCAAAGATCTCCATTTCAGTCGGCATTTTGAGTTCTTTAAGTTCTCGTCTGCCTGCAGTTACCCTGTCCTTTTAGAGAAGTGGGTAGTATGTTGATTCTGAGCCTAGATGTACATTGTTATAATAATCTGCATGGTGTTGTCACTATCTATAACTGAAATTGAATGTAGTTTTTTTACCAGGGTTGCAAAATAACTTTCTACAAAGCAGGACTGACGGAGAGATAAACCATTCCTTATTTTACTATTTTATTATAAGCGTATCGCATGCTTGCTCTGTTAGTGAAAATCAATGTGTTTATAGATGCATGAGTCAACATGCTTTAGGAACATAAGTTTCATTCCAAACATTTTTAATACTTGTTCATATGAAATATACTAATATATTGTTTTCACTGAAAGGTGGATTTGACAGCTTATGTGGAAAAGCATGATTTCTGCTTTGACACTGTCTTGGACGAGAATGTAACTAATGATGAGGTATTTTTAATTATAATTATATTCAGTAATTAATCTCTAAAAGCAATTACCTTGCACTGCCCCCAATGGATGTTGTAGAATGTCTCCTTTCTTGTATTCGTCAACATTTTTTGACATTATACTTGCTGTTTTGTTTAACAGGTGTACCGTGAGACTGTGGAGCCTATTATACCAATAATTTTCCAAAGGACAAAAGCAACATGCTTTGCATATGGCCAGACAGGTTATATATGCTAAACACTAGAAGTCTATTTTCTTTTGGTGTAATTGTGACTTATGTCCTGGACTCCACTAATGATTATTTGTTTTATCTCCTTGGTGAACTCTTTGGAAATAACCTTGTGCTTGCCATTCTGTTTACCATGCTTCAAATTCTCTACTGCAATTTTTAATGGTAAACTTTGTGCTTGTCAAGCATTTTACTGTAGAGGTTTTACCAGCATCGATTTGCATGACCCATTGAATATGATTAATCCAAGCATCTGAGATTTGACACTAAGTACAAGTGTGGAAACATTGCCAGTTTAATAGTTTATTGATCCCTGTTTTTGGCAACTTTTTTTTTTTTTTTTTTTTTTTGGGGGTGTTAGGGGAGGGGGGAGGTGCTTAAAATTGATGGTACTTGAACTTGCAATTATCTATTGTCTGAATGCTAAGGTCTTCTGTTTATTTGTCTCAGCTGGATGTTACATTTATATGGTAGTCTTGGTGAATTATGATAAGGACCGTTCCTGTACATAGTTTGTTACTCCTGAATTTCTTATTGTGTTTTCCTTGGTAGCTTGTCTTATGAATCTCCATGTGCAGGCAGTGGCAAAACCTATACAATGCAACCCCTACCTCTTAGAGCTGCACATGATATGGTTCGTCTTTTACATCAACCTATGTATCGGAATCAACATTTCAAGTTGTGGCTCAGCTACTTTGAAATTTATGGTGGCAAACTCTTCGATCTTCTCAGCGAAAGGAGGTTGGTTACTTGAATTCTTATGTTCATGTTTGGCATAGTATAATCCATTGATCGAATTTCTGTTTTTGGGTCATTGGTCAGATGTACACACTGGTTGCATGCAGATTATTATGTACAATTCAAGTACTCCCTCCGTTCCACATTATAAGACGTTTTGGCTTTCATAGATACATTACTTTTACTAAGTATCTAGACATAGTGTATGACAGTGCATAGCAAAAGCTATGTATGTAGAAAAGCCAAAGCATCTTACAATTTGAAATGGAGAGAGTATAATACAAGTGGTCACATTGATTCTTGTTCCTTTTTTCTTGTGCGCTCATCTTCATGTACTGCTTTCATGCTGCTGCAGTGCTGCCTATTCCCTCCATCCAAAATATACGGATTTCTGGGTTTTGTTCTAAGTCTAGACAAATTTATAGGAAAGAACGATAATATTTGTGATACCAAATGAGCATCATTAGGATAATTCTGAAATATATTTCTTAATTTTCTTTAATGTAGTAGATGCTAATTTACTTCCCTATAAATTTTGTCAAACTGACAAACTCAGAAACCCTTATATTTTGGGACTAAGGGAGTAGTATTTATCTGTGTCATATGATGAAATGGTGGGGTGGGGGTCTGGGGGGTGAACGCCTTTTATAACAGTGGTTCCTGGTTCAGAGTTAGTTGAATCATGTTGTCTACAGATGTGTGAAACACTTGATTCCCAGTGTCAGATCTAGTGGAAATGTGTAATCAATGGCCTAAGCATTTAAGCCAAGCGATGACTTGTATTTATTTGTACCTTTGCTTGTAGAATTGCTAGTCAATCTCTAGCCAGTTAAGTTCAATTTTGAATGATTTTCTTGGGAAATAAAATCTGAGTTCATGGTACATTATTATCCTTTTGGTTTCTTTTGTGGATTTTTATTTTTATATATTTAAATCAGGCTACATTTTTATTCTTTTTTTTGTAGGCAACTCTTAATGAGAGAAGATGGAAAGAAACAGGTCTGTATTGTTGGTTTACAGGAGTTTGAGGTTTCTGATGTCCAGATTGTCAAAGAATACATTGAGAAAGGAAATGCTGCAAGAAGCACAGGCACAACTGGAGCCAATGAAGAGTCATCACGATCTCATGCTATTCTGCAATTGGCTGTGAAAAAGCATATCCCAGTTACTGAAACCCGGAGACAGAGAGACCGAGATGCTATTGAAGCAAAGAATACAAAGCTTGTGGGGAAAATGTCATTCATTGATCTTGCTGGAAGTGAGCGTGGTGCTGATACAACAGATAATGACAAACAAACAAGGTATTGCTTTTTGGCAGTAGATTTGGTCTTCTGCTTATTGTGCTCGTGCTGTATGATATTCATATGTCCTTATGCTTATGCCTTGAGCCAGAATTGAGGGTGCAGAGATCAACAAGAGCCTTTTGGCTCTCAAGGAATGTATCCGGGCACTGGATAATGATCAAATACACATTCCTTTCAGAGGAAGCAAACTAACAGAGGTGCTTCGGGACTCCTTTGTTGGAAACTCTCGAACAGTGATGATTTCTTGTGTTTCACCAAGTTCAGGTTCATGTGAACACACACTGAATACCTTAAGATACGCCGACAGGTAATATTTATTTTAACATACTGAATTTACATGTATGCTCGCATACTTCGAATATATATCTATAGTTATGAGTTATCTAGTTAATTCTTACTCTGGTTCCTACTCTAGTAAGCCTGCATACAATTCATTCTTCCTTGAGTCCATTGAGTTTGCACCTTGGAGGAGAATTTGGAGATCCTGGGCACCCCTGTAAATTTTTTCTGTGGCTTGCGGTCAAAAATCAATGCTGGACAGCAGATAGATTATCCAAACGTGGCTTACCTCATCCTGCTGCTTGCTTATTGTGTGACCAAGCTGAAGAAAACCATCCAGCATATTTTAGTTTCTTGTACTTTCGCTCGGCAAGTCTGGACCTTGGTCTTGCAAAAACTTGAACTTCTAGCAATTGCATCTGGTATTTGAGTATGCCTCGTGCCTCTCCCTTGTTTTTTTTCCCTTTTGTTTCTCCTATCTTAATGACATGATACGCAGCTCTCCTGCGTCGTTCGAGAAAAAATCTTACTGATATCACTGATTGATAAACAGGGTTAAAAGTCTTTCAAAAGGTGGTAACACAAAAAAGGAGCAGTTTGCTGCGCAGTCTGTATCATCAGGCAAGGAATCTACCTACACACCATACCCTTTATCATGTGAAGCTGAAGAGACTATGGAGCAGACTCAAGAATTTAGGCCTGTTGATTCTTCTAGGAAAGGTGTTGACAGTTTCACTTCCAATTCTTCTGTGGAACCTGAGAGAAACTCCTATAGTACGATTCCAAGCTATCCACATAGAAGAAAAGAAGAAACTAGTACTAGATCTGGTTTGAATGATAGGGAGAGAGGGGACTTGAAATCTAACCAGGCTGGTTTTAATAGTAAAACACAGTCAGTTCAGGAATCAATAAATTCACAAGAAGAGGTGAAAGTGACAAAAGTCTCACCGCCCTGGAGAAAAGCTAACAGGGATGAGAAATCAGAAAGGCAGGTCAACTACATGAAAAAAGAAAGTGGACCTGAAACTAGTCGGACTGTTGTTAAGCAGCAACAGCAACTTAAACAGCAGCAGCTGCAAAGACCATCATCAACCTCAGCATCACAGGTTTCATCCAAGCAATCTGAAAAGGAAGATATGGAAATAAATGCAGTACTTGAGGTGAAGTCTTTTTTAATCAGCATGAGATATTGTTTGATCCTGAGTAGAGATGTGATATGAAGTCTATTTTTTTTTTGGGTGCATCTTAGGAAGAGGCGCTGATAGCAGCTCACAGAAAGGAAATTGAAAGTACAATGGAGATGGTGCGGGAAGTAAGTTCCAGTTACTCAGTTGTATTTGAATTTCATCACGGATGTCTGTTTGGTAGTAAATGATTGCCTTACTCTATATTGCTCATCTCTTAGTAAAAAAGTTGCCAGTTCCATATCCTTGTCATTATCTCAGCATTACAGTATGCTGCTAAACATGACATGCGTTTTTTTTTTTCAGGAGATGAACCTATTAGCAGAGGTCGATCAGCCAGGTAGTCTTATTGACAACTACGTGGCGCAGCTAAGCTTTTTGTTGTCACGGAAGGCTTCTGGTTTGGTAAGCCTCCAGGCACGCTTGGCACGGTTTCATCAGCGCCTCAAGGAACAGGAGATTCTTAGCCGTCAAAAAAGACTCAGATAGTTTAAACCCAAAAAGTTGGAAACCTTTCGGTTTGTCATTGATTGCGAGAAGCCCCGGATATTGGAATATTATATCATGGCCTCCAACATCGCCTTAAAAGAAGGGAAGGACGGACAGGATCTCAGGGTGATTAGGCTGGGAGATGGAAATGTGGGCTGATGCAGTGCAGGCATTAATGATTTTAAGGTTTTATGAATCAAGTTTCCTGAAAAGGGTGCTTGGGTGTATTTTCTATTGGTGGCATAGGTTTGTCAACGTTTGCCATTTTCTTTTGTACGAATATAGTTGTAACCGTTGTTTGAATGTCGGTAGTGAAGTGCTGCGGTGAGGAAATAACCGTACATTGCCTTGCCGTTATAGTGTTTGTTGATATTTATTTCGCATCAACAAAAGAAAGGCAGCATTCGACAAAGATATATGCATTTTTTATACCTTTATTTTTGCCACCTTTTCTCTGATGTGACCATTCTCAATTTATAAAGTATAAACGAATGAAAGATAGCATTAATTTGCAAGCATGATTCAGATCATAAAGCTAACATGTATATCAAGAAAATTAGAAAAACTCAGTCGACTATTTGACTGCCAATAGAGCTGATTTTTGAGGGCTCATGCTATGAACTGTAGCGATGAGCTATTTTTTTTCCCCGTTTTTAGCTGAAAATAAACTTGGAGCTAGTGAGGCCACTATTTTTAGGACTTGTTTGGTAGAGCTCTCAAGACAGTTTCCAATTTTTTTCCTGAGAAGTGATTCTTTGCTAATTCCTCTAAAATAAACTAGAGGCTAGAAGCTAAAAAAAGTAGCTTATCTTGATACACTCCATGCATAGAATCACTATATGCATATAGAATCAATTTCAGTTAGAGAATCAACTTCCAAGCAGAAAAAGCTCTGCCCAGCATGCTCTTCACTTCACTGGCTCCGGTTCTAGCTCCTCGGTGCACTGTACAAGGAGCTAGAGCCGTGCCAAAGGCATGAAACTACAGGTAGCGGATCAGCCATTCCACATACTCATAACAGGCTCAGGTAAGTAGCACTATTAAAAGAATAAATAAAAACATAATAAAACAAAAAGGATTTGAGCATTACACAAAATTCTGCACCTAGGCCGGGTCATACAGCCTACCCGGTGATTGCTCACTTGGTTACAGCTCACAGGATGCTTATATATATATATATAGTTCGAAGTTAATCCATACCTCCCTATCTCTGAGGAATCAAACTGCAATCTAATGCCGGCAGAAAATCTCACTCCACCCATTTAGGTCCCGCAAAGGCTCACTGGCAAAACTCAAAGGCGCTGCTGTGCTCATGCAAAACTCCCTTCAAACTACTGCTTGACCATTGCATGGTGCCATTGTGCAACCGGAGAACACTTTCAAAATCCTTGCACTCAGTGCTATACCTTTAAGCCGCTGCACCCATTTGCCAACCAATATCTGAACTTGGCCAAAATGACCTATGATGTCCTCCAAGGTTTATTCAGCCCTCAAACTCAGTATTTCCTTTGCTATCCTCCTGCGGAAGTAATGCATTTGCTTCTACAAAATGCATCCAATTTTGTTTCAACTTTTGCAGATACATCATATCCATTATGGGAAAAATGATTGACAATGCATTACCTGTCCGAAAGTGAGGTCCATATCTCTGCTGTAGAAGTCAATGTATTTGAGCATGAACATGCCGCAGTCCCATCTAGGGTGACAGAGGACTCAATACATTAGGCAAACTTAAGAACAAGTAGGAATAGTGCTCTAAGAAACTATAATGTTCTCAGGTTCATATAGGGGGAGGTGGTAATTGCATGCAATTTTTTTTAATAAAAAGGAATTCATTAACTGCGCAAGCAGAAACGGAAGTACAACTATGCTTGCTAGAAACAAAAATGAGAAGTACCCATTCATCTGCAAAGGAAGGTTTTCGACACCTTCCTGCTTCCATGAGAGCACATCCATCTGTTGGCCACTTTTATCTTTGACCTCATCCACAATATACCTGGCCTGGTAAGCATTGAAAAAATTATAAATAACTAGCCCGGTAGAGATTTTCTTTTAAAAAAAGAATATATAAAAAACGAAAAATGAGTGAACTTCAATATGGCTTTTTCCTCTTGTACATGGGGAGAGCAGAAAGCAGCAACACTGATAGAACCTAGAGGATAACACTAACCAAGTTACTCAAGACCTTCTTGTCCATGCCACCAAGTGAGTCCAGATACTGAAACTTTTTGTCCCTTATGTTGATGACTGCTAAACACCAATGGACTTCCTTGTGTATGGGAACAAATATCTGGATAATAAGTTTTGGTTAAATGCATACTAAGTTAAACCCTAGTAAGATCTAAACCTGAAAAGAGAATCCAAAAGTGTTTTACCTTGTCACAGTCAATTAGACTGTACCCTAACTTCCTTTTTGTTGTCCATCTTCTAACAGCTTTATAATCATATCCACTGGAAATCAGCTGACAGACAGTAATAAGAGATCAATTATGAGTTATAACTAACACAACATTGCGCTCAAATACAACGCATGTCACGATTGCTACAAATATGGTAATGAATGCAACAAGACAGATGACAATAATAAATAAGAAATATGAGAGAATGGCATTAAATGGCAGCTTGTGTGCATGCACATCAGCACATGTAGGAATCAGCTGAGCTGTTTGGGTGGATATCATATAAATACTAGGAAACAATGCATCAGGTAGTAACTGCATGCATATCTTTCAATCTGATATGATGCGCATTTGATGAGAATGCTAGTTGTTTAGAAGCAAGGAAAAATAAACAAAAAAGAATTGTCCCACCAAAAGGTAAAACAAGTTCCAACACAAACCTTCTTGTAGAAAAAGGTGTTGAAGAAATGACATTTTAAGAACTTGCGAGGTTCTCTTAGTTCCCTCTCTTTAAGCAGATCAAGATACAAATTGATAACCTGAAAGTAGTCGGAAAAAAAAAAGAATAGCAAGAATTTTATACTGATATATTACATTATGTCTGCTTAACTCTGCAAAGAGTTACAGAAGCAACAAAATGAAAAATACCTCATCATTTAGCCATTCCTTGTTATTCAAGCACTGCAGGATCTCCCTCGTTATCACAATATTTGAAGGTTCATGTACTGCTAACCTCTCACGTCTGGAAAAAGGACTAGCTACTAGCTATGTAGGCATCTGTGCAACTATCACATGACAAAAGAAGTAAGAAGCAAACCTGTTCCCGCCATGAAGAGCCTGACAAACCATTTCTTCATCCTCATCAGTAAGAGGAACAAAAGGCTCAGGCACCTCCTGAAAGGAACGTGTTAATACTCAATAACCTTAATGAAAAGAGTGTGTTCCATTCTAAAAACATAGCCTGGTTTGGTGTACCATTAAGTGCAATTCAGTCTCCAGGAACAACATGAATTTCTTTTAATCCATCTATTTTTCAAGGGAATTGCAAAAATCACAGGCTTATATATCCCAACAGACTTCGAAAAGAATTCCTCAGAGCATAACGACCAGAAAATCCTTTAGTAGGTCCCTCTTATCTTTCAGTAACACGTGAGTAACAAGTACGACATTTTTTACCAACAATTATACGAGGCTACATAAGTATCTAGCCCATCATATATTTAAGATAAATTGTTTCTCAGGGAAAAGAACAACCATGTTTGAAGAACTAGTTATGGAGACAATCACATACTCAGAAATTCACAAGCATTAACTGCCTATGGTCAGTGTTCCATTATTATCTGAAATGCTAGGTCCTCAAGGAAGCACATGAGTTTCTCCAGAATGGCTGTTCAGTTCAACATTCAGTTGAACATTCCAATTTTTTTTTCTTCAAGCTCAGTTCAATTCAGTCAATCACCTTGTTCCACACAGCCCTCCCATCACAAAACAATATGAAAGATAAAAAAGAAGAATCTAGGAAAGCCATACCTCCTTCTTCTTTGGCGTAATTCGCAGGAGGGCCTCAGCAAGCCGCTCAAGGCCAAGACGGCCCTCCTCGGCGAGCCGCACCTCAAACTCGAGCGTCTTGAGCTTGGCATCCCGCTTCCGTCGCGATTCCTCGTACAGCTCCTTGTATACTGGCTTCCCTCTCACTATCACACTCCCCCTCACCTCCTCCTCGTCCTGCGGCTTCCTCTCGTCCTCATCCTCCTCAATGGTGACCACCTCAACGGGCACCGCCTGCCTCGTAGAATCGGTTGTGGCGGCAGGAGTGGGCGGTGCCGGGTGGGAGTTGTTGACGATTTCAATGTAGTCCTGGAGTCCGAGAGCACGAGGCGGGGCTGATGACGGGGAGAACCACGAGTGGCCGGCGGCATGGGTCCGTGCGGCACCCCCAAGCCGGAAGACGCGGAGATTCCGCTGGGGGGCGTGGATCGGACGCTGGAATGGCGGCGGCGGCGGGAGTCGGCGCCTGTGCTGAAGCGGGGTGGAAGCGGTGGTAGAAGAGGAGGAAGGGCCCGGCGTGGAGGAGGTGGATGCCGCGGCGGCGGAGTGGATGATTTGGGGAGAGGGACGGATATGCGGGACGGCGGAGGTGGAGGGATCGAGTTCAGGGAATGGGGCGAGCTTGGCCCGCTTGGAGGGAGGGGTAAGGGACGGCGGGGGGAAGGAGGGGTAGGGGAGGCGGTGGTCGGCCGAGAGGAAGTGGTCTGCCGAGAGGCGCTTCCGGCTGTCGGTGAGGGCGCCCATCACCGGCGGCGGTGGAAACCCTAGCGGCGGTGGAGAGCGCCGAGCCAGGGAGGGCGAGCGGGCGGTCTTTCGAGGAAAGAGGAAAGAATGTGATTTATTTTATTTTATTTTCCTCCCCGCCTTTTTGGTTTATTTATTTATTTTTATTTTTGCTTTTTTGGTTCATTTCTTTGCGGCAGTGTGTGTACGAGACAGTTTAGGGCGGGAAGGAAGGACAACGTTCTGATTAGGATGAACTTCGGTCAGATTGGAGCGGCCGTTCTTGGCTGGGAGGATTTCTGCGAAGAGCTGCCCAACTGGCGCCAGGGGTCGGGGGCATGTTTGTCAAAATTTAGAGTACACATCTGTTTGTCAAAAAATCATTCCAAACATAAAGATTAAACGTACTCTCCGTCCCAAATAAATACATATATTAATTTTTGAGGAGTCAAATCTTTTAAAATTTGATCAAATATTACATAAAAAAGT